GACCCTGCATCGACTATAGGGGTCTGAATAAGATCACGGTTCGCGACCGTCACCCTCTGCCCTTGATGTCCACCACCCTGGATGTAGTGTCCCAATCCGCCATATTCACCAAGTTGGACCTGCGCAGCGCCTACAACTTGGTCAGGATAAAACAAGGCGAGGAGTGGAAAACCGCCTTCATCACCCCGACAGGCCACTGGGAGTACCTGGTCATGCCCTTTGGCTTGTGTAACAGTCCTGCGGTTTTCCAACGGCTAATCACTGACGTCCTGAGGGACATGCTGGGCCGGTGGGTGTTCGTTTACCTTGACGACATCCTGATCTACTCCCGAACCCTGGACGAACACATCACACACGTGCGAGCCGTTCTTTCCCGGCTGCTGGAGAACGGTCTCTACTGTAAACTGGAGAAATGTGCCTTCCATCAGGAGACCATCTCCTTCCTGGGTTTCATTGTGTCGTCAAGAGGATTTTCAATGGACCCCCAGAAGGTCCAGGCTGTCGCCCAATGGCCGCAACCCACTTCCCTAAAACAGCTCCAGAGTTTCCTCGGATTCGCGAACTTCTACCGCCGCTTTATTCGCGGTTTCAGTTCCATCGCCGCGCCCCTCACTGCCTTAACCAAGTCATCCAACCAGATTCACCCTTTCCGTTTCACTCCTGAGGCCACACAGGCATTCCGCACCCTGGTGCACCGATTCACGACCGCTCCCCTCCTCGTTCATCGGGACACAACAAAGCCATTCATCGTGGAAGTGGATGCGTCCGAGGTGGGTGCAGGGGCGGTCCTATCTCAACGCGGTCCAGACTCCAAACTCCACCCCTGTGCCTATTTCTCCAGGAAATTCACACCCACCCAGAGGAATTACGGGGTGGGGGACAGGGAGCTCCTGGCTATTAAATGGGCGCTGGAGGAGTGGAGGCAGTGGCTATTGGGTGCCCAGGACCCGTTTACCATATGGACAGACCACCAAAACCTAATTCATATCCAAAATGCTCGCCAACTCAACCCCCGTCAAGCCCGGTGGGCTCTGTTTTTCGAATCCTACCACTTTCATCTGGCTTATCGCCCTGGTTCTAAGAATCTGAAGGCGGACGCCCTTTCCCGCCATCACGCCCAATCTGCACCCGTCAAGGAACCACCGCCTATTTTACCTGCCCAGAGGTTTGTTGCAGCCCTTCACTGGCCAGTGGAGGACGCCATCCGAGCTGCTCTTCCCACCGAGCCCGCACCTGCTGACACACCCTCCAACCGGCTGTATGTGCCATCCACCTGCCGGTCTGAGGCCCTAGCATGGGGACATGCTTCCCATTTGGCTGGCCACCAGGGGGAGACCCGCACCCTCCAGTTCCTACGTCGGGCCCTGTGGTGGCCCTCCATGGCTAAGGATGTCCATGAATACGTGGCTGCATGTTCCACCTGCGCCCGTTCCAAGACTCCGAACCAACCCCCGGCTGGCGACCTCCACCCTCTTCCTGTTCCCCACAGACCCTGGTCCCACATAGGCCTGGACTTCGTCACGGGGTTGCCTCCCGTCAACCAGCTCGACACCGTCCTGACCATTGTGGACAGGTTTTCCAAGGCGGTCCACCTGGTGGCTCTTTCCGGCCTGCCCACCGCTAAGCAGACGGCCGAAGTCCTTCTGGAGCAGGTGGTCCGTCTCCATGGGTTCCCTCAGGACATTGTCTCGGATAGAGGGCCCCAATTCATGTCCAGGTTCTGGAAAGCCTTCTGCCGGCTGGTTGGTGCCAGTAGCAGCCTCTCGTCTGGCTACCATCCCCAGACCAATGGACAGACTGAACGCGCCAACCAGCAGCTCGGGCGGTACCTGCGCTGCTTTGCCTCTTCCCAACCAACCACATGGCCAAAGCATCTCTTGTGGGCGGAGATGTCCCATAACCTCCACGTCTCCTCGGCTACTGGTCTTTCCCCGTTCGAGCTGTGTAATGGTTACCAGCCCCCTCTGTTCCCTCACCAGGAACCGGAGACGGAGGTTCCTGCGGCCCAGCTCCTAGTTCGACGTTGCCGTCTCGCCTGGATCCGTGCTCGGGCTGCCATCACACGAGCTAACACGGAGTACTCACGCCAGCATAAGCGCCGCCACCGGCCTGGTCCGACCTTTCAGCCGGGCGATAATGTGTGGGTGTCTACTCGTAACATGCGTTTGCCCGCCGGCTCCAAGAAACTCAGCCCACGGTTTCTGGGTCCTTACCCCGTGGAAAGGGTCATTAACCCCGTGGCTTACCGCATCCGCCTGCCCCGGTCTCTCAAGGTTCACCCAGTCTTCCACGTTTCCCAGCTGAGACCGGTCAGGACCTCTCCTCTCGCTCCCCCCCCTGTGCCCGCTTCACCGCCTCGTGGGGTGTGCGGTGATGGTGTTTATGCTGTGCGCCGCCTGCTGGATGCCCGTCGCCGTGGCAGGGGATGGCAATACCTGGTGGACTGGGCGGATTACGGACCGGAGGAGCGTTCATGGGAACCGTCGAGGGTCATCTTGGACCCTTCTCTCATAACGGACTTCTGGGCTCGCCGCTCTGGGACTTCTGGGGCCGTCCCTCGGGTGGGGGGTCCTGTCACACAACCTCCCGCTCAGCCGTCAACCTCCTCTAGGGAGGCACCGCAGAGCCGCTCAGACTCCATTACCCAACATCCCTAGCGCCAGGTTTTCCGTTTCACGTCACCTGCCAAACCTATATATGGAAGTGCCGCACAACGCCGGCTCACTCAGTCATCGTTCTCACCGAACTTAACCTAGAGTCCTAACCAGATCAGCTCAGATCACGAAGCCTGTTCAGATCAGACCAGCCAGATCTCCGAATCCTGCCTGTTCGTACAGATCAGCTTCAGACCAGGAGTCGCCGTGTTCAGCTGTGTCACAATACAGCTGCGTACCCGGCTCCCAGATTAAACAGCGTGTCCATTCAACCCGGCGTCAGTCACTCCGCGCTTGGGTTAAAAGCCACGCCACATCCAAACTCTTGCCCAGCTCGAGTCACCCCGTTACACAACTGGCCTGTTGAGGTGAAGAGAGAGCTGAGCCGGAAGGTGAAGTTCTCGATTTACCGGTTCCTACCCTCACCTGTGGACACGAGCTTTGGGTAGAGACCGAAAGAAAGAGATCACATATACAAGCGGCTGAAATGAGTTTTCTCCACAGGGTGGTTGGGCTCTCCCTTAGAGATGGGGTGAGAAACTCAGTCGTCCGGGAGGGGCACGGAGTAGACCCGCTGCTTCTCCACGTCGAAAGGAGCCAATTGAGGTGGATCTGGCTGATTAGGATGCCTCCCTGGTGAGGTTTTCTGGGCACGTCCCTGGAGGAAGAGCCAGGACACTCTGGAGGGACTATGTTTCACAGCTGGCCAGGGAACATCTTTGGATTCCCTCGGAGGAGCTGGCCCAAGTGGCTGGGGAGAAGGAAGTCTGGGTGTCTTAGGATGCCGCCCAATGACTGGATGCTCTTTGTTGGGGCAGCAGTAGCTCAGGTGGTAGAGCAGGTTGCCTCATGATCGGAGGGTCACAGGTTTGACTCCAGCTCCCGCCAGGGGTATTCTGCTTTTGTGTCCTTGGGCAAGACACTTCACCCAACCTGCCTGTGTTGGTGGTGGTCAGATGGGCCGATGGCGCCAAATGGCAGCCTCGCCTCTGTCAGACCGCCCCAGGGCGGCTGTGGCTACGTAGTAGCTTACCATCACTGGCGATGTTTGAATGTGCGGGTGCATGGGGGCGTCTTTGAGCGTCCTGAAACGCGCTATACAAGTTTGATGTATTGTTATGTGTTCTAAAAAACATGGTGTAACAGTAACTTTTAAATCCGTTCAAATGATTTGAAAATTTCCATCTGTCCATCCATTATCATCTGCATATCCGGAGTCGGGTCGGGTTGAACAATTACATCTTTTACAGCGAAGGTGAGAGGTTCTGAGCTGCATGTACGGATGGGGAAAATCAATGAAGTGTGTTGCTGTTCCACGAGAAGTTGGGGGGGGGGGGGGGGGGGGCAGTTTGTGTGTTAGTCAGAGGAGATGGGGGGGGGGGGGGCAGAAGTGGATCATATTTCCCAGGGTATCATTCAGCAGCCATGTACCATTAATCTCCCACACACTCATATTGCCTATGAAGGCACCGTCATCCATTCACCCCCACCACCCCTGGGACTGTCTGACATGCTGACGTGATTTCATCTGTCTCTCTGAGGTAACACTTTGTGATACGACTCCGTTTGTTCGGGTTTACGCCTATCTCCTTAAAACACAGGTCCACACAACTCTCCTGCAGCGTGGCCCGACAAAAGCACGAATCCCACCTGGGAAGCCACCGCGCTCCCTCGGGGAGACGTGCAGTCTCTTCCTGTGAGAGGTTACATGATAAAAAATGGTTTCTAAAACAAACACATCCTCAGCTATATACGTACAGATTTTACACATTATAAATGAGGGTTTTAAACTAAACCGCAGTGCACTAACTGTGCATGTGAGCTGCTCTACTAACGCAGCAGTTTTGTGAGTTTGCTGCTCCGGAGCATACAGGTGTGTGTTAACACAATGGCAAGTGGGAAAGACACCAGGACTGACCTCAGAGAGGTGATTGTCTCATTAGTCTAGGAAGGGTTAAAGGTCACTTCTAAAATATCTAAACATGTGAGAAAGCTGATGATCTTCACAGGTCTCAGCAGGTTAAGTCCAGGGTGAGGGAGGAAAGTTAGCTCCATATCAGAGGCTACAGACCTCGGCCAGAAGGTTAAAGTTCATGATGAGATGATTAGGAGATTGGTCTGTTTGGAGGGGGTGTAGGAGACATCCTGCTCTCTCTAGAAACAAGGCTGGTTTGTAAAGTTTCATCTGAGTGAACCAGAAAGCTTCTGGAACAATGTTCTTTGGACAAGTGACAAATCAAAACCCAGACGTAAGCTCACCTGTGTTTAACTCTCCATCTGTTATCATTAGCTGGTACAAATCTGCCGTCTCCTTCCTCAGCATCTCCCTGCTGTATCTCTTGACAGATATGTATCGCCTGGAACTGGCGGGTGGTCTCGGGGTCATACTGCTGCTGCTGGGGGTCCTAACTGCTCTGTATAAGTGTTACAACCTGGAGATCATGCTCTGCTACAGGAGACACTTTGGGATTGATGAAACCGAGGACGGTGAGCTGTCTCATACACCGGGACACTTCAGGGTAGCGTGACAGAAAGCTCCCACAGGACTCATGAGCTGTAGATGATCAGACATTTAACCGCTCCACTGACTTCCTTAGTCTCTTAGCTGTTTGAAGAACTAGCTGGTGGGTGATGCCGGAACAGACTTGTGATGTTTGTCTCCGTGTTGAATTCCCCTGCAGACAACAAGGAAAATGATGCCTACCTGTCCTACACCAAGGTGGACCTGGACTCTTTGGGCAGGTCAGATTTCTCTCTTCATTTGCAGACTGTGACGATGCTTTAGCTTTTCTTTTTTTACTGATTTAAACAACAGAGATGGGCTCTGGATGCTTTTCTCAGGTTAGGGTCATCAGGTTGAAGGCTGCTCATCTGCTCTATAACAAACGTACATGTTTGCGATTTATTAAATACAATTTGTCTCAGCTTTAGACTTTTTGCAGGTTGTTTCTTTATTGACTTGTTTACACCAAGTGGTACGGTGCCAGTCATACGAATCCTAAGGGTTTTGTCTGTTTCTGTTGTAAAAGCGACCCATCCGTACCACTCCATTCCTGGGCCCCCTCCAGCTGTAAGTCCATAGGATAATGGAACGCAACGGTTAGGGCGGAGCTACTAGTGTCACACAACGCAGTCCATGGCTACGGGAACAGCAGAAAAATATCTGATTTTGATATGAATAGTTCATATAATTCACAGTTTATCTTCTGAATATAACAATGATAGCCTTGTTTATATAAAACTAGGATTGGAACAATATTACATTTAACTTGTACCAAGTTTTGTAACTTGTAACGTGTTTTGTAACTGTAACTTTTGTTTTGAAGCATGTAATTCACGTTTTGTAATACGTAACTTTCATTTTGTAACATGTAACTTCAGTACGTAACATGAAGCTTTTATTCAGTAACTTACAGAAAAAAAATCAATGTACAAGTTTCAAATCACAAGTTTCAAAACACAAATCCCAGTCTACAGTTACAAAACTCATCTACAAGCACAAAACAGTTTGTCCCAATTCTAGCTTGCTTCCAACAGGAATTGTCTTGGCTGGTCAGACAAAGCCTGTCATTGGTTCTTTGGGAAGCAAGCTAGAGTTGAGACAAAATGTTTTGCACTTGTAGATTTGAGTTTTGTAACTGTAGACTGAAATGTGTGTTCTGAGATTTGTGTTTTGAAAGTTGTGATTTGAAACTTGTACATTGATTGTTTTCTGCAAGTAACAAAATGGAAGTTACATGTAACAAAACGAGAATTACATGCTAAAAAATAAAAGTTACAAGTTACAAATCTTAGTACAAGTTACAAGTAATATTGTCCCAAACTTGGTTCCATACATTTAAAGCATTTTTCCACACCTGCCTACAACTTTTGCACAGTGCTGCACAGTAAATATTTGTACCTTCTGGATTCACAGCCAGCTGTTGGAGCTGATCTGAATGTGTGTGTTTGGTATTTCGTATAATTTCGTTATTTTCCCTCTCCCAGCCGGACGAGCAGCGACGAAGAAACCTTTGCTCTGGAGATTTTGCCGGACGTTCTGGAGAAACATTATGGATACAAACTATTTATACCAGACAGAGATTTAATACCCAGCAGTAGTAAGTATCATTCCATTTATCAACCTCCTTCTACACACACACACACACACACACACACACACACACACACACACACACACACACACACACTCTGTCTCTATAGGTCACTGTAATCCCCAATACCCAGAATTCATCAGTCTGTCAGGATAAATAAAAATGTATGCAGACCGTCATCATAACACACTAACTGCTGCACACATTTGTCTCTGTCTGCTCTCAGGTGTGCATCACACTCTCAATGAGCACACAAAACATACGCAGTGTTAAACAACACAAATGTTTTCTCTCTTTCTGTTTTGCTCAGGTCGTGTCAGGTTCTCGGTTACATGTGTAGTTCACTCGTACCGTGGGATGACACAAAGACGAGTTCTGTGTACAGATCATTTGTCTTACATGAGTCACGGGACCTCGCTCTGGTGACACGTGATTTTTTTTTTTTGCGTTTTTATTTATTTTGTACAATTCTGAAATGTTGGATGGTTTCTGGAGTGTCTGACACCTATGAAATGAACTGGTGGCTAAATGGAGACAATCCCAGTTCCTAAACTTGACTTCAATTCTGTTACAGTTGTCAAATAAAGTCCAAACTAAAAACAGGAATGCACACATGGATTTACCATCAGGTCCATGTCAGTGGGGTGAATAACACGTAGAAAAGTTTGCATTTTTATTTCCCTCACGTGACTGGAAACAGAAAACGCTACAATACCACAACCTGTGAGCAGCAGCAAGCACATGGCATCAAGAATGTAGTATTTTTAGTACCCGTATGTCAGTAACACAATAAAAAAAATGTTCTTCTGCCCTGAGATGTGTTACCCTGGCTTTCCACTGGTCTTGAAAGTGGCGTGAAACAGAATAGAGGCGTTATACCGACGAGCTCCCTTCCAACCGGGAGAGATTCTGCTGCAAAACGGGAGCAAAAGCATTCCGAGCCGCTGGTCCCACAAAGTCACAAAATCGTGGGAGAATTGCAACACCATGTGTGATTTCAGAAGTCTACACACAATAATACATAGGGAAAAACATAGCTGCATGCATCCAAGTAGTACACGGTTTATTGTCTGTTCTGTTATGGCTATGGGGATTTCACAGGAAACGACCTACGATTATCTAAACTTGACTTTTATTTAGAAATTTTCCAGATCCCCTTTTTAAAAAGGCGGACTGTTGGAAGTGTTCCAGCTGCATAGGGGTCACACTCCTGGTAAAGCCTAATCAGGGGTTCTGGAGAGGGGGGGCCCGACAGATTCAGGAGAAATAATGTGGTTTTTGTCCAAAACATTGGACCAGCTCGATACCCTTAGGAGGGTCCTGGAGTGTGTGTGTGTGTGTGTGTGTGTGGGGGGGGGTATTTTGTGGATTTGGAAAAAGCATTCGACCGCATCCCTCTGGAGGCCCTTTGGGGGTACTTTGGAAGTATGGGGCAGGCCCTCTGATACAGGCTGTTAGGTCCCTGTATGACCGGTGTCAGAGCTTGGTCCGCATTGCCAGCAGGAAGTCGAGCTCGTTCCCAGTGAGAGTTGGACTCCACCAAGGCTGTCCTTTGTCACAGATTCTGCTCATAACTTTTATGAACAGGATTTCTAGGTGCAGCCAAAGTGTTGAGGGCATCCGTTTTGGTGGCCTGAGAATCGGGTCTCTGCTTTGTGCAGATGATGTGGTCCTGTTGGCGTCATCAGAACATGATCTCTGGCTTTTACTGGAGTGGTTCGCAACTAAGTGTGAAGCAGCTGGAATGAGAATAAACTCCTCTAAATCCGAGACCAGGGTCTTAAGTCAGAAAAGGGTAGAATGGCTTCTCCGGGTCAGGGATGAGGTCCTGCCTCAAGTGGAGGAGTTTAAGTATCTCGGGGTCTTGTTCATGAGTGAGGGAAAGCTGGAGCTTGAGATCCATAGGTGAATTGGTGTTGCGGCTGCAGTGATGCGGGCGTTGTACCAGTCTGTTGTAGTGAAGAGAGAGCTGAGTCACAAGGCAAAGCTCTCAATTTAGTGGTCGGTCTACTGGTTTACGTTCCTACCCTTACCTATGGTCACGAGCTTTGGGTAGTGACCCAAAAAATTTGATCACGGATACAAGCGGCTGAAATTAGTTTTCTCCGCAGGGTGGCTGGGCTTTTCCTTAGAGATATGGTGAGAAGCTTGGTCACCAGCTAACCCTACCCAAAGCTCATGACTATAGATGAGGGTTGGAATGTAAATCAAACGGTAAATCAAGAGCTTCACCTTCTAGCTCAGCTCTCTCTGACGCAGAAGCAGCACCAATCCACCTATCAATCTCCCACTCCATCTTTCCCTTACTCGTGAACAAGATACTTAAACTTCTCCACTTGAGGCAGGACCTCATCCCTGACCTGGTGAAGGAACTTTACCCTTTTCCAATTCCAGAATTAGAGGAGCTGATTCTCATCCCAGTTTCACACTTGGCTGCGAACCACAATCTGATGAAGCCAACAGGACCACATCATCTGCAAAAAGCAGATACTCCATTCTTAAGTCACTAAAACAGATCCCCTCACCACCTTGGATGCACCCAGAAATCCTGACCCTAAAAGTTATTAACAGAATCGGTGACAAAGGGCAGCCTTGGTGGAGTCCGACTCTCATTGGAAACGAGCCCGGCTTACTGCCGGAGATGTGGACCAAGCTCTGGCATCGGTCATACAAGGACCTCAAAGCCCATGTAAAGGGGTACCCAGTTCCCCCGGAGTACCCCCCACAGGGTCCTTGAGGCATGCAGTCCAACGCCTTATCCAAATCCACAAAATACATGTAGATTGGTTGGGCAAACCCCCACATACCCTCCAAGATCCCCCTAAGGGCATAGAGCTGAGTGTTGAGGATGAAAACCACACTGCTCCTCCTGAGTCTGAGGTTCGACAATCCGACGGACCCTCCTCTCCAAAACCCCTGAATAGACCTTACCAGGGAGGCTCAGGGGTGTGATCCCTCTGTAGCTGGAACACACCCTGCAGCCCCCCTTTTTAAATAGAGGGACCACCACCCCGGTCTGCCAGTGCAGTGGAACTGCCCCTGATGTCCATGCGTTATTGCAGAGTCAACCAACACAGGATCACTGGGATACTCAAACCCTTCCATGGCAAGATAGCAGCCTATGGAGGGGTGACTGATTTTTTATTGCATTAATAACAAAAATATAAAGTGAAATAAAATACATAAGTATCACAATATGACATAAATACATGAGATATACAGGGTAAGAAAGCAACATTTTTTTCTATTGTGGCCCCAGAGAATCACAGACTAATAAAGCGACCATAGCTCATAACAACAAAGCTGCTTTAACACCTGTCAGTGCAGCATGAGATTCTTTAATGATATTGTTGGTCAGGTCCTTAGATACCTTACTTACTGTAACTAATCTGTGAGACTAATGAGAAATTTTAGCATTAATGGTACAATATGTAAGGCAACCCAGATCAGGAGACAACGTTGTGTGGTCAGTAGAGGTGGGAAAAATGATCGATTCTAAGATGCATCGCGATTCAGCCGTGCATGATTCCGCATCGATGCAGCAACGTGACATAATGAGATTTTCTCCCTATGTCTATGTCAATGTTCTGGACACGTGAGGACAATAAAGTTTTGAGGTTTTACAATTACTTCTGGGGGCAGAGTTGCAATGACATGCGCACTGCGTTGCCCTAACGCCAATTTAAAACAGAAAAGGCGGACAGGGATACAGGGCCAACATTACCAGTAATCAAAGATGTACCCGTTACATTTAAATCGGATGTTTGGGCTAATTTCGGTTTTGGGATCCTGGATGTGAAAGAATCACTTAACACAGTATTTGTTTACTATTTTTAAGTTCAGTAATATTCTATCTTAAAGCTGCTCTATAGAAAACATTATTTCTTATATTATTTAAGTAATTATAGGCAGCACACTTTATAAATTGTTGCTCACTATAGTGAACAGATGAATGTTCTGTTTTTCAGGGATATCGAAATAAAAAAGAAATTGAAAACTATTCTACTGCTTTTATTAAGTAATGAATATTTTTGTGAAGAATCGTGATGCATTTCAGACTCAAATCGAATCTTTAGGCAGAAAATCGGAATCAAATCGAATCGTGAGGCAGGTAGAGATGCACACCACTAGTGGTCAGTGTCTGACCTTGGTTCTGTTCTGGTTCATGTGAGGGCCTGAATGGAAAAAAAAACAGTTTTTTTATAACATTTGAAAAAACTGACACGATACAGCCCTGATGTGCTCTGCATGTTGGCTTTTGTGCACCAACATCCCCAGACTTCTCGATCCATAAACATAAAAAAAAATCAGTCTTCATAGACTGTTATGTGAGTAGAAAAGCACAAATGTGTGTTCTGTGCATTATTTAACATTTATTTTTAACCCTCTGGAGGTAGGCGTTGCAGATTTGCAACAGTTTAAAACCTACCTACCTGGTTGCTCCACATACGTGTTTCATGAGCATTTTTTAACTCAGAAGTGCCCCTGAAGGACTTAGTTGTTTGTCCTTTTATCAAAACTTATTTTGAGCCTGAGAGCGTTAAATATACAAGTAAGTGCACTAAGACATGGTTCAGATTAAACAGACCTGCTCTACATAATCAGCCGTTAGCAAAAATCATTCCCTCTCCCAGCACACATCCAAATGCTTCTTGGAAATGAATTAAAAAGCCACAGTGAGGTTTCATCTTGCTGCCCTAAAAACATCCTGGAAACAAATGTCCACCGTGCATAAAAACACACATTATTTGCTCTAAAGTGATTATGTTATGCAGCGCAGGGAACACAAAGAACGAGTGTGACACAGAGGGAGACAGGGGTCCTTTTATTGCCTTGCAAAGCTCACTGACAACCTTAAATACCCCATTCAATTATCCACTCCACTTAGCTTCACCAAAGAATGCAAAATAAATAACGGCAGCAAAAAGAGGTGGGGACGGGGTCAATGGTTTGTGTTATTTCATTAATTGATTAGCATAATCTTCACGAATTGAGGGGAGGAGGGG